GCAAATGTGGGACTGACTGCTCCACCAGCTGCCACCTCACCCGACCCAGTCCTCCAGCTGCTGCATTGTCTTGAGCCCTCCTTTTCCCAGCTGCCCGTCTCTGAGCCTCCTACCTGTCTGGATGAATGTTTCTTCTTTAACTCCTTGATTGTCAGACTTCCATACAGTTTGATTTTCTGTCAGTTCTGGTTGTTTTTTGTTTTTAAATTTGTTGTCCTTCTTTTGGTTGTGGGGGGAGGCACAGTATATCTACCTACACCTCCATCTTGGCTGGGAATCCTGCAAAATTCTTTAAATAAGATGGTTATATTCTCCATTCAACCCTTTAATTTTATTTTAAGAAACCAAATATGTTCCTAATTTATTTAGTTTTTAAATTCAATAAAATTAATAGAAAAAGTTTTTGCACATTTTAAATTAAACCAGAAAAATGTGTAGTAATGTGATTGTTAAAGGAAGTTTATGTATAATTTCACAGATTTTATACAGCCTAACATCAAAAAACAGCATTGAAGCTGTTTTAAATAGATGCCTATTTATTTTCATTTTAAAGGCCTGGAGCTTCATTCATGGTCTTGTAGAATCTTTGTGCTATCAAAATCAATGGTTTTTAAAACCAGTTGTATATCCAAGTTTTCTGACTCTTTCTCAGATTTAGGGAATCAAAAGCTCCATAAGGGATTCATATTTACAAACCTACCAACAAAATTTCCTGAGTGATTATAATACCCAGTTGTTGGTCCTGCACTGGGGAAGCAGATCTATCTGAACTTTGAGCAGACAGACTGACCAGGTGAGAGCAGAAGAGACTGTCTGGGGAGAGCAACCTAAGAAACATTTACTGCCTTAAAGTGTATAGAAAACCAGACTTCCGGTTTTACCATGATGAGAATGTTTGGTCCTCACTACTTTGTTTCTGGACTAGGTAGCCATGATTTTGTGAGTTGGGGAGGTAGGATTTTAGGAATGGGAGATACCAGGTGTCCTTTCCCACTCTGTACTTTTAATGTGCACATATTGCTTCTGTTATAAATTTTAAAGTGAAGTGGCTTCTATGTTTTTATTATTGAAAAATAGAAACATGTTTTGGTTATGATATATCATAGGAAGACACCGTCTGTATATACTTAGTCTATTGTGAAAAACAGGAATTATTTCTCCCTGGAAATGGGAGGAAGATGGCAGCAATGTGAGGGAATCCATGGAACAGCCAAGATGTTTGAACAAGGGACATTGATAGCAAAATATTTCTGTTGTCTCATGTAATTTTCTCTAGAGCTATTTGACCTTGTATGCATTTCTTTAGTATTTTACATTTTAAAATTCTGTGCTTTGTAACAGCTTTCCCTATGAAATCTCAAGACCTGAGGAGAGCTAAAACTATTCTAGTGATAAACTGACATAGGTCAAGAAAGGAAACTTTTTCCTCTAGCATCCTAGGTTTTCTGACTGAAGCCCTGAAAATTAAACTGACCACAGATAGATTAACAAAACAAAACCAGATTATTAACATATGCAGCATGCCTACATGCAAGAGAAACTCAGTGATGAGAAACTCAAAGGGATGGTTTGAACTTGGGCTTTGGGTTAAGAACAATGAATTCATAGAGTAGTGACAAAAACAAAGAAGTTTTAGGCTTCCAAGGATGGCATAAATATATGGGAAAACTAATAAAGTGAGTTTTGTTTGTGCAGCTCTGTCTTCTTCATGGCTGTAAATCTTCACCAGGAGAGGAAATTTATGACAGGCCTTATTTCTCAGTTTCTGCCCTTAGTTAGATCAGGAAAGCTTCTTTCCACATTAGTTGAATCTCAGATGCTTTCAGTGCAGTAATCCTTATGCCAAAGTGATATATTTGGGGTGGCATAGTTTGAAATTCTACATTGTTCCCTCCGGGATGGGAGCTGAAAAGACAGTAAAACTTTACTGTAATGATGTAAGTAGAAACCAAAATATTCTGTCACATACAAAGCAGGGTGGACCCTTGCAAAGTTGATTAAATGGAAATAGGGGCTAGCTGGGACTGGAGCAGAGTAAATTGGGTGTTACCTGAATCCTTGTATTGGTGGTTACTACAGGGGTCATAGTCCCTATTTACTGTCTTTTAAACTAGTACTTGCATGATATACCATAGTTGATATCCATATGAATTCTTTTTTTCATTCTTCTTTTGTTTTGAAGTGGCTCTTCTTTTAAAGACTTTATGTATTTATTTTTAGAGAGAGGGGAAGGGAAGTCAGAAAGAGAAGGAGAGAAACATTGATGTAAGAGAGAAACATTGATCAGTTGTCTCTTGAATGTGCCCCAAATGGGGATTGAACCTACAACCTTTTGTTTTGCAGGACAATGACCAACCAGTTGAACCACAGTGGTCAGGATGTAGCTTTTCTTTTAGATCATTGCCTGCAAAGTTAATGTCTGCCTACAGCCTTCTAGGTTATGCTTTAAAAGCCCTATTATTTAACAGTCTTATTTCCTCCCCCTAATAGCTGCCTGTCACTGCAATTCCTTGGGATTTGGAAAATAGAGAATTTATACTAAACATGGCTTCTGTAAGAGTCATGTCCCAAGAAAGGAAGATGGAATATAAAATACACTGTTTTATCATGTGCTCCAGTCCTTGGTATTCATTCCAACTTTCATGTAGAAGATCATGTGTGCTATTAAATAGAATAAGATTTTGTACTACTCTCCATTTATATTGCTTACTAATTCTGCTACTGTGAAATGATCGTCCTATGTTTCCTTCTGCCAATCATTCTTATTTTGCTCTCCATTGTTGTTCAATTATCCAGCTTTTTCCTGCATGATAGCTTAAAAGCATTAAGAGCTTAACCTTTAATAGCTCAACCAACACATTTATATATTGGCCAATAAAAGGAACTTAATAACTTGAAATTTTCTTTTTTAAAAATCCTCCTTAGTCACTGTTTACTAACAGGAGACAGAAATGTATTTCGATTTCTGGGCCCAGATAAGAAATGGATATAATTCCATTCTCTTGTGAAGTAGGAATTGGCAAGAGCTGGATTATTTGGGACATATTACTGATATTAGAGAACTGTAATACTAGTGACTGGAGATATTACTAGAGACAGTTCATTATGCAAGAACTAATTGTATCATATCAGTCTGAATTCATTCAGGAAAACAGAAACCATATTTAGTATTTAAATGGAGAAGATTTGATATAGGGAATTGATTAGACAGTTATTGGAAGTCCAGAAGAACAAAAACAGAAAGGTGATATTAACTCAGAGGGTAAAAGGACACCCTAGAGTTGGGGAAACAAACAGAAGGAAGTGGTGCCACCAGAAGGAGCCACCATCTTGGGAGTTACCACACCTCTAGAGCTAAGGTCATGAAGGAAGAACCACTGCTACCTGCCTCCAGACTATGGAGGAAGGGACGTAGCCACTTCAAAGATACTGCCAAAAAACAGAGAGGAGAGAGTGAAAGTAGGTGGAAATGGCTACACCCCTCTTCCCACAGTCTCATTGGCAGAAACTTAACAAGGAGCCAAGGGGCACAGGACCCTGAAGAATATAGTTTGCAGAGTATAGAAGGACAGGCATAGAACTAATAGTAAATAACATGTGCTGTATCCACATTCTGGTTGGGTAGTTCTTGCTAAATTACCATTTTTATCTGTTTTCCTTAAAGTGCTTGTTCACTTTGTAGAAAAGGGTGAAGATCAACACAAAATAAAAATAAATTTCAGTCTGTTGTTATTTTTCAATAAATAGTAGTAATGATAATAGTAATAAATAGCAAAATATGTGAAGGATTTTATTGTTGCATAAATGAAGTTTTAGGTTACTATAGTTTTCCTGGGTTGTTAGAATATCACCACAGATTTTGTCTACTCAAATGCATGTCACTTGCTGGAGATAATTGACCAAATAATCAATAACAACATCAAATATAGAGAGATATAAATATTGTATAGTTAGCAGCCTAAATTACTTTAAGATTTTGAACTTCTCATATTTCTTCATTTAAGAGATAAGAAAGAGTAACTTGAGTTTCTTAGTCTCGTGGGAAATTCTGACATCTCTTTAGCAAATGGATATTTGTGTTTCCATAGTTTATTAAATATTTTTTGCATAATATGCCACCCATTTGCTATTTGGTGATAGGACAAGTCAAACTGTTTTTATTATCTAAGGAAAAGACAGACTTGACAGTAAGTAAGGAAATAGCCTTTAACACTGATAAATTGTTATCATTTGTACTTTTTGCAGAGTTAGAGGAAGCAAGTTTGTTTAGATGAGATGTGCATTTGGACTGAGTTAAATGGGGCAAGAAGGTCACCTGCCAAAAAGTCCATCACTCTTCCTTGGCACACTTTTGTTAACTATACAAATTGAGAGCCAGCTATTTGGTATTCTGTTACCAATGTTAGACAACATTGCCTGTCATAAGAAAGCAACAAACAATTTTCTCCTTTCTAAAGGAGGCTAACAAGCTCCAAATGCCCAGGTGTTTTACAATGTCTGTTTTGTTTGAAGCTTAGATGTAGGCAGGAAGAGGCACAAGAATGTGACACATTTAGTTTTCTTAAATAACAACTTACCAAAGATGAACTTGTGAAGTCTTTCTAGAAAAAGGCTAATGATTAAACTTGTAGTTTCTCTCTCTTCAGTAGTCTAAAATATTACTTGACACCTGGAATCACTAAGTTATGGGTTATAGGTAAGATGTTGTAGGTTTGGGAGCTAGACCACCTGGTTCTAATGCCTGCTGTACTATTTCTAGATAGATAACTTTGCACAAGTTAGTTAATTTCTCTGTGCCTCAGTTGCTTCATCTCTACAATGGAGATCATTATCTACTTCATTGGGATTATTTTGAGTATTAAATGGGTTAATATGAGTAATTAGAAACTCAATAAATGCACTTTAGGTTTTATTTGATTTTGGGTTTGGTTTTAATTATGTCTTGGAGAGACAAAGAAAAAATTGGAAAATTAATTTTTTGGTCTATGGTTTACTTTTAGTATGCAGATCTAAATCGCCACGTGGATGCATTGAATGCCTGGAGAAATGCTACTGTGCTGAAACCAGAGCACAGTTTGGCTTGGAACAACATGATCATACTCCTCGATAACACAGGTACAGAAAGGGGAATTATGTACATCAGAGGAAATTGTTTCATGGCACAGTACCATTGAATAATTAGGAAATATAGATTATTATGGGCTTTTCCCTAGTGTGTGTTAGTTTTTTTGTTTTAATTACTATGGGATTTAATATTTTGCATTACAAAATGTCTATTCTTCTAGAAAATGGAGATTCTTTTGCCATAGAATATGAATGTTTGGGAAAATGACACTTTGCTTAAAATTGGTGTAGAGTAATGAAGGGCAATATGTGGTAATATCTTAATTCTCTGAAGCCTGTTATCTAGCAGTGCCTATCATCTAGGACACTGAAGTAACAGAAGTGAACAAGAGTGACTAATGGGCTTATGAAATGGAAGGTATTAGGTCCATGCTCTGAAATTCATGGACTATAACGAAAGGAGATGCCTTCAAACCTATACCCAGAGATTCTTATTTTAGATATAATGCTAATGATAAACTTGATGATCTGGTTTCTTAGCCCTTAGAAGACTTGATCAATTGTTACTCTGCTCTTCTAGTTTTAAAAATCCAAGCATCTCAAAAGAAATGATAGTTTTAATTTGGCAAAATGTAAAGCTAGTAAACCATCTAATCAGTGTGTATAGAAATGCTCACTTGTTTCCAGTTAAAGTATAGAACATGTACTTCAATATGATAAATATTCAGACTTTGGCCAAGATGGAGGCATAGGTAGACTGTGCCTCCTCACACAACCAAAATAAGGAGAACAAAAATTTAGAAACAAAAAAACAACCAGAACTGACAGAAAGTTGAACTGTATGGAAGTCCAACAATCAAGGAGTTAAAATAGACACATTCATCCAGACCTGTAGAAAGGGCAGAGTCAGGCAGCCAGGTAGAGAGGGGTTGCGGCCAAAAAAAAAAAAAAAAAAGTGGTGCTTTGCAGACATCAGATGCGCAGGTAGCGGCTGGCAGACCCTGGGCTTGGGGTGGCAGTGGGCGAACCCAGCAAGGCACGCAAGGTGGCTGACTGACCAGGTGGTCACACATTCATGTGCAGATAAACCAGGTGAAACTGGGGAGTGAGATAGACCACACAACCCAGTGCTCCAGCTTGGGGGAAATAAACTCTCAAAACACTGATTGAAAACACCTGTGGGGGTTGAGGTGCAGAGAGAGATTCCTAGCCTCACTGAAGAGTTCATTGGAGAGACTCACAGGGTCCTAGAATGTATACAAGCCCACCCACATGGAAATTAGCACCAGAAGGGCCCAGTTTGCTTGTGGGAAGCAGCGGAAGGGACTGAAATCCAAAAGAGAGTGGAGCAAGCGCCATTGTTCCCTCTCTGAACCCTCCCCCACATACAGCATCACAACCCTGTGACTGGATTGCCACACCCTGGTGAACAACTAAGGCTCTGCCCCTCATTACAAAACAGGTGCGACAAGACAAAAAAAAAATGGCCCAAATGGAAGAACAGATCAAAGCTCCAAAAAAAATACAAGTAAGCGACAAAGAGATAGCCAACTTATCAGATGCACAGTTCAAAACACTGGTGATCAGGATCCTCACAGAATTGGTTGATTTTGGTCGCAAATTAGATGAAAAAATGAAGGCTACAATAAGTGAAATGAAGAAAAATACACAGGAAACCAATAGTGATGGAAGGAAAGCTGGGTCTCATATGAATGAAGTGGACCAGAAGGAAGAAAGAAACAACCACACAGAAAAGAATAAAGAAATAAGAATTCAAAAAAATGAGGAGAGGCTTAGCAACCTCCAGGACATCTTTAAATGTTCCAACATCCGAATTATAGGGGTACCAGAAGGGGAAGAGGAATAGGAACAAGTGGAAAAGTTATTTGAACAAATAATAAAGGAGAATTTCCCCAATCTCACAAAGGAAATAGACTCCCAGGAAGTCCAGGAAGCTCAGAGAGTCCCAAAGAATTTGGACCCAAGGAGGAACACACCAAGGCACATCATAATTACATTATGCAAGGTAAAAATGAAGGAGAGAATCCTAGAAGCAGCAAGAGATAAGGAGACAGTAACCTGCAAAGGAGTTCCCATCAGACTATCAGCTGATTTCTCAAAAGAGATCTTGCAGGCAAGAAGGGACTGGAAAGAAGTATTTGAAGTCATGAAAGGCAAAGACGTACATCCAAGATTGCTCTACCCAGCAAAGCTTTCATTTAGAATGGAAGGGCAGATAAAGTGCTTCCCAGATAAGGACAAGTTAAAGGAGTTCATCATCACCAAGCTCTTATTATATAAAATGTTAAAAAGACTTATCTAAGAAAAAGAAGATAAAAAATATGAACAGTAAAATGACAGCAAACTCACAATCATTAACAACCACACCTAAAACAAAAACAAAAGCAAACTAAGCAAACCCCTAGAACAGGAACAGAACCACAGAAATGGAGATCACATGGAAGGTTAGCAACAGGGTAGTGGGAAGAGGAGAGATGGGGAAAAGGTACAGAGAATAAGTAACATAGATGGTAGGTACAAAATAGAGGGGGGAGGGCAAGAATAGTTTGGGAAATAAATGTAGAAGCTAAAGAACTTATGACACATGGACATGAACTAAAGGGGGGGGGAATGTGGGTGGAAGAGGGTGTGTAGGGTGGAGGGGAATGAAGGGGGAAATGGAACAACTGTAATAACATAATAAAATATATTTTATAAAATATAAATATTCAGTTACTTGTGTGTTACTGTGATATTCTTATTTTGCAGACTTCTTTTCTCTGATTTGGGTGTAATTGGTATCTGGGGGAAATTTTAAATTAGGTTTAATACAAAATTCAATCAAAAGCTATTTATATCATGCCAGAATTGCACTGGGTTGCATCGGCTTTGCAACTGATAGGATCATGTGTGCGTGTGTGTGTGTGTATTACATGTTTTACCTTAATTTTCTTAAGTAGTTTATTGATAACTATTGTGTATAATGCACATAAGCCCTGTTAGAGAGAAATACCAAAATACTAGTACATGTGTTTCACTTTTTAATTTTTTACTCACAGGTAATTTAGCTCAAGCTGAAGCAGTGGGAAGAGAGGCACTGGAATTAATACCTAATGATCACTCTCTAATGTTCTCCTTGGCAAACGTGCTGGGAAAGTCCCAGAAATACAAGGTGTGTAAACTGCTGGCCGTGATTTCTTGCATTTAATGCCAGCATCTGACAGAAGCCATAAATGTTACATCAGCCCAGTTAAATTCAGAGTTAGGCCAAAACTGTGGTAGCAGTACTCCAGTGTGGCTTGGCCAATGTGCTTCCGGAAGTAGTTGCCCAAAAGATGGATTTGTAGAGTCAAACTCTGTATTCTTCCTCATCAGAATTTACCACCCTTGCTCAAATGTGGGAGAGAAGAAGATGCCCAAAGAAAAAGTGTATCCTAGCAGATGCCTTAGCTCCCACCCTGGCACGAGTTGGACTGGAGCTCTGAGTTTATTTGTGGGTGCCATCTTCCACACAAAATGCCTATGTTTATTACAGGGCTGGTTCTTGCTGCTTCCAAGTTTTTCCTCATCTAGAGTTAAGTTACAGGTCATCTGCAAGGCCCTAGAAATTTCTCACCAATGAAAAACACAAGTAATCTGAGCTCTATTTAACTGGGCTCTCAGGATTGCCCAGGAATAGACTACACATTAAAAGGTGTGTTGAAGAGAACTCAGTGTTCCTAATGCTGGTGATGTTAAGCTTTAATTTTGTATATCAGAATCACCAAAGGAGTGGGTTAGAATGCAGATGCCCACCATCGTTTTCATGAGAGAGACTTAGTCGGTTGCCTATGGTCAGGGGATGTGCATTTTTACCAGCACCCTGACTATCTAACACAGATGTTAGAAAGCACTTTAGAAGCAGTGCCTTAGTCCATACATGAGAGAAATATTTTCTTTCAAAATCAGAGGCCACATCTGATTTTGATCACACTAGGCCTAAAGGTAGTGATTCATTTCTATTTGTCCATGTTATTTACTTCTCCTATTCTGCTGATTACATATCATTTCCTATAACAGTAGTAATGTATTTGATGTATTTTTCTCATTTTTGAGTGTCAGGTTCTTTAATAGCTTTGGTATACAGTTTGCATTTCTAGATTTTACTCCAGTGATGCCAAAAGGAGGGATGCGATGTTACACCATGAGCCATGGCATCACCAAGCTCTCACTTAATACATTTTTCTAAATTCAAGATTTGGAATTTTAAACCACTCTTTAATTTTTTTTCTCATAAAAATGATTCCTGTTACTGTTGGTCAACTACTTGCAGCCTGTTCTTGCAGACCCCTGGGTGGGAATGCTCTGGAGAGGTACTCGAGGTGGTGGTTTGTAGGGATGGAGTGCGCAGTCCCTCCAGCTCAGCCATCATCTCATTAGGACAGACACTCATGCTCTTTCAACTTCCTTTCTACCTAAGCATTTGCTCTTTTAGATTCTTGTTAACTTTTGATGAATCTCTTTAGTGAGCCTGGAAACTTCTTGAGGTTAGAGTCTTAAGTCCTATTTTTCCATCTCCATTGCTGTCCAGCTGGCTGATGGTCATTTATTAAAATGACCCACTAGTAAATGGCTGAATACATCTCATATTTGGTTCTGAAACTTTCAAGCTTCCAGAATCTATATTGAGACTTTGATGTGCAGAGTGAGTGTTATTATACCCATGTGATTATGGGCCATCTTTTTTATGCAAGCAGCCCTTTTTACCTAACAACAATCACTTAACCACTCCTCAGTTTATTCGTCTGTACAACAAAGATGATGATAAGAAAAAATGCACAAGAACATAATTTATAACTATTAAATGCTGAATATATATACATAAAATTTTTAGTTCAGTGATTATTAAATTCTAAGGATCATTAAAACATTTAAGAATTTATATTTCTTGTGGCCATTTAATTTTCAATTTATGGCTAATGTGGTAGAGCAAAAATACAAAAGTAATGTTTTTAGTACTTAAAATATTACCCTTCAGACTAATTCCTCTTTCTGTTATTGCCTATCCCACTGGCCCTGGAGTTATAAAGCGGATTATATTGATAGTGCCATTTCCCCAGCTCCAGACATTTATGCCACACTTTCATGAATTTGTTTGGCTATATCTACATACTACTTGTCTTATTATTTACTTAATTCTCTTTTTTAAGTTTTTAACACAGATAAATATATTAGAGTAGAAACATTATTACTATAACTGTAAGGTAACTGAAAATAATTTTTCTAAACCTCAAGTACACCTGCTTGCCATGGCTCTGAACCTGAGGTCCACCTTCTTTTAGCTTCAAAGGGAGATTGGCAGACATCGAGGCTGAAACTCTCAAATCGCCACCAGAGACTTGTGTGTGGAGTGAACCAGAAGAAAGAAGGGCAAATTAAAGAGGGAACTACTCTCTTCCTATATGATTTGTGGTTTTCAGCTTAATGTTGGACTGCCTATATCACCTTCCCTGGTTGGAGCAGGCTCTGGGGTATCCCTTGTGAAACTCTGTCCTTGGTTTATACATGCTACCCTGCCAGGCACTGTGGCTGAAAATGACATTCGACTACCTCATCCTCTCCATTTAGACATAAAGACCCTCAGTTTTTCCTGTGTAAGACCTTTTTCTGTCTCACATGTTGCCCTAAACCATTGTTAAATACATTTTGTCTAACACACTTCAGAAAATAATATTATTTCCCTTTCCATTGATGAAAAAATATTCCCTATTTAAAATGTGAGTTTATTATCTTTTGGTGTAAATCAGTGTGTTACCTGGGTCTGTATGCATCTGCACACCCCCACAGAAAATTAGTTTATAAACAGTTCATTGCTTTCTGGAACAGGGCCATTAAATGGCCTATTTAATAGATGAGCATTTCATGGGCTTTGAATACCCACAGGCATTCTAAAGAGTCCTCCTGCCCTGCCTTGCCTCCCAGAGGTTGCTGAAGTATCCTCTTAAGGCTGCGCCACTGCTGCATGAGAGGTAGCATATCTAACCCATACTCATCGTGCCCCCCAAACCTGCTCTTCCTCCCTGACACCTCTTCTGTTGTCAACTTGCTATCATTCTTCTGTCTTTCAGGCTCAGAAACTATGGCTCACTTTTTCCTCTCCCATTCCCTCACTCATCCTGTGTCTCTCATTCCTTCTCACCCAGCCTCCTCCTCATCCCGCAGGGTTCAGGCCCTGCCTGGCCAAGAGTAGCAGCCCCCTAACAGGGTGTAAACCCTGAGCCCCTCTCTGTGTATACCACCCTGAATCCCACTACATCCCCCAGACCTTACTGTGACTCTGCATCATCCTAAATAATGTCCACGCTCATGGGCACTTGAGAAATTAGTTAAAAGGATCAAGCAATGTGTCTAGCATCCTCCAAGAACTCCTGACTTGATTATTATCTCTGTCAGTTTTCTCTAGTTAGCACTTGTGCATGTAGATTAGCATTGTAAAAGAGATTTAAATTTCCTTGCTTTCCTATTTCTCAAATTTTAGGTTTTAAATGGAAATATTTGAAAATCATCAGAAACAGCCCTGCTACTTAGAAACCACTGCAGTTCTATATAATCCATTTCATTTTTTATTTTTTCAGCATACCTAAGATAGCAGGAAAATCTTAGGTTTCTCTGAAGAAGTTTCAGCTCCTGAAACCTAGAAATTAGGTGCTGACTCTGAGCTGAGTTCTGAAAGTGATGTTCACTGACATCCTACATGTTATTTTGATGTCTTTATTTGGTCCCTCTTGGATGACATTTCTAAAATACTCATTTTCTTCTGCTGGTTCTGTTGAAAAGGTGGTGCTTCCAGATGTTTGCCCAAATTCCCAGCCTATTTCTCAGGAGTGCCCCAGGCCACCATGGGGCAAGGAAATTGGCCTTCTTACACTTTATAAAATGCAGGATTCTGGAGTGGGAAGCCCACCCGGAAAAACAACATTTGGCACAGATAGAAGGAGCAAACCTCTCCCCAAACCACCAACTTTGGTTGTATATGCTTTGAGTTTAACACTTGGTTAAAGCATGTGACACTGATGAAAGCATTAAAGCATACTTGGCCCTTTGCAAACAGGATGTAGATGGTGTGAATATCTGTCCCTGGCAGGGGTGTTTGAGAACCATTAGGCATCTTTATTTCTTGGCATTTTAGTAGAAAGGGGATCGGCCAGCCAGCCAGCATGGCTGGTAATGATCAGGTAGCAAACACTGGCTGTGCTTCTTAGTAACCCCACTGGAAGTGATTACTATATGAAAGAAATACAAGTCTGTAGATGAATCAGCTCACGTACATCAAGGACATTTGGTCGTGGACATATACAATACTGCAATGGCTTAAGTGACAGGGGGCCGGCTATCTCTTCCTCATTCTCTCTGCTCATTTTTTCCAGCTGCTTCTCTGGGTTGCTGAGGGGGTTTGGATAGTTGGGCAACATTAAGTAGGCCCCAATTCCTACCTTGGGTATCCTGGGAATGAGTTCATTAATTCTGACTAAAACTGTTTTTTTTTTAAATTTATTTATTTAGTTTTAGAGAGGGAAGGGGGGGAGAGAGAGACATCAATGTGCAGTTGCTGGGGGCCATGGCCTGCAACCCAGGCATGTGCCCTGGCTGGGAATTGAACCTGTGATGCTTTGGTTCGCAGCCTGCACTCAATCCACTGAGCTACGCCAGCCAGGGCTGAGACTAATACTTTCATCAGTGTCTTTTGACCTTCACTTGCCCTCCACTGCACCCGGAACCAAGCTACTTGCTTTAAGTTGCAGAATTCCAGCCATTTCATTGAGCCAGGTGGCAGAACTCATTAGTACATTCACTCTCTGTATAGATAAGTTCGTTTCCACTGCTTCTCATCCATCAACTGCTGCCTTGTCTCACACTTCCCTTATCACCCTTCCAAGCCTCTTCTCAACAGGCTGTGGCCCTGCTTGTCCTTCGAAGTGTTTCTGGAAGAAGGATATAGTGGTACAAAAAAAAAAGAACATTAAGAGTTTGAAAACCAGAAGAGATAAAACTGCATTGGTTGTTGAATCATGTGCATTACCTTTTACATATTTTATTTTTTAGGAATCTGAAGCATTATTCCTCAAAGCAATTAAAGCTCATCCAAATGCTGCGAGTTACCATGGCAATTTAGGTAAGGAAATTGTTTAATTTGAATCATACTGAAATTGTATGTAATTTTGATGAAATGAGTGTATTTTTATAAAATTGATGTTGGAAGAGTAGCTTTTTCAAATCTAGCCTGTATCATCCTTTATAATATGGTTTCAAAATGTGGTTTTTAAAAAGAAATCATTACACTAAAAAGGTAGCTAAATAGTAGTTATATTTACAAATCTTTTTTAAAAGATTTTATTTATTTATTTTTAGAGAGGGGAAGGGAGGGAGAAAGAGAGAGAGAAACATCAGTGTGTAGCTGCCTCTCACGTGGCCCCCACTGGGGATGTGGCCTGCAACCCAGGCATGTGCCCTGACTGGGAATCGAACCTGTGATGCTTTGGTTCACAGCCCGCACTTAGTCCACTGAGCTACACCAGCCAGGGCTACAAATCTTTTTTTAAGCATATTTTATTGACAGTGTCCCAATTTTTCCTCCCTCCCCACCTCTGCCTGGTATCCTCCTTCCCTCCAGTGATTTCCCCCCTCCCACTTATAATGTCCATGGGTCATGCACAGAAGTTCTTTGGCTTCCCCTTTGCCTATGTCATTCACATGTCTGTTTATACCTACGAATTTGGGCTTCTTAATCCCTGAAACTTTCCCCGGATTTCCCCCCTTCCCCTTCCCAACTGATAACCATTCAGATAAATGATCTCCACATCTATGATTCTATTCCTGTTCTACTTGTTTGCTTAGTTTGTTTTTGTTTCTTAGATTCAGTTGTTGATTGTTGTTTGTTGCCATTTTATTGTTCATAGTTTTGATCTTCCTCTTTTTCTTACATAAGACTCTTTAACATTTCATATAATAATGTCTTGGTGATGATGAACTCCTTTAGCATTACCTTATCTGGGAAGCACTTTATCTGCTCTTCCATTCTAAATGATAGCTTTGTTGCATAGAGTAATCTTGGTCATAGGTCCTTGCTTTTCATTACTTTGTATACTTCTTGACTGTCCCTTCTTGCTTGCTGGAATCCTGGGCTGCTTGGTCTGGCATGGGGCTGGGATCACTTGCTTACAAGGTGTTCCCCTGATTTTTATCCATCATACATGAATGTGGGACTGCCTGTTCTGCTGGCTGCTGCCACCTAGCCAGCTTGCCAACACCACCACACCACTTCACCCAGACTCCTTGTTTCCACCCCACCTACTTGTCTGGATGAATAAAGCTTCTTTAAAAAGCTTCTTGGTTGTTGGACTTCTATATGGCTCTGAGTGTTTTTCTGGGTGGGTTTCTGGCAGTTCTGGGTGTTTTTCTTTTCTTTTTTAAGTTAGTTGTGTTCCTTCTTATGGTTGTGCAATAGGCAAAACATCTTGACCAGAAGCCACAAATCTTAATTATATGATTAGAACATCCCCCCAAATCACTCACTCTAATGATAAATCTCAGATATTCTTTCTTTGTGTGAAGGATCCTAAAAATGTTAAACTGAGGAGTACTTTGGAAGTTTGCTATCTAACTTACATCCTTTTCCCATCTTCCATAGTGGACCTTCCATTCTAGCCTGGTCTCTGCTTTTTTATGTTCTCCTATGCATTGGCTAAAGATGCATTTACAAGAAATGTATTCTAGAATTTCTTTTTTCCATTATACATCTCAATAGTTAATATTTTTAGAGCATAATGTGTGGGTGTTTAGAATGCTCAGTCATGTGACTTTTTTTTTTTACCAAATCTGTTTCCTATAGACTGTAGCTTATCACAAGTCATGACACATAGATCATTGCTCTTCTGTCCATCTAAAAAATTAGTTTTACTTACAAAATCATTATAATCATCAGAGGCTTACCATTCTAATACTGAGATTTATTTTAACTATTATTTTATGGTCAGATTTTGACATGAGAGCCCTTATTTCCAATAAGGCAACAGGCAGTCCAATATTTTGCCAAAAGGTATAGGGGTATCTTTATTTAAACAGCTGGACCTCTAAAGAGTCAGGACTCTAAGCATTGTGGGAGCCTAGCCCTATTCAGTCTGGTTCCTGGAAATTTCATGGCAGAATTGAGAAAGTTTATGGACTCTTCCTTTTACTTTATGTAATAAGATTCTGGTAGGGAGATGGGTCATGCCTAGTGATTCGAAGAACTGCAGGACTAAGGGGGGTGGTTAAACAGACAATCACGAGGGAGTGTGATTATAATAAATAAGGTTTGTGGCACAAACAATATTATTTTAAACAATGATTTTTGAAATGGTTTCAGATTCAATATTTCAGCTTTAACATTTCTTTGTACGAGGTTGGGAACACTGCAAGTTATTCAGAAGCATTTCCAATGAAATTCATCTATTGCTATTTCAGCTGTGCTGTATCATCGTTGGGGACATCTAGACTTGGCCAAAAAACACTATGAAATCTCTCTGCAGCTTGACCCCACTGCATCAGGAACTAAGGAGAATTATGGTCTCCTAAGAAGAAAGCTGGAACAAATGCAAAAGAAAGGCATCTGAACCTTTTTCCTCCATTTTTTGAGTTTGTGCGTGTGTATGCATGAAGCATATCACTAATATTATGTGGTTACATTTAAACATTTAAAAGTCTTAAGTGTTTATTTCATTGTTTCTCTTCTGTGAAAACAAAGACATGCAAAAAGATTACAGCACCAGCAATGTTCTCTTAAACACTTGATGTGATTTTTGCATTGAAGTTGTATTTTTTCAGACCACTTAAATATAAATTCTAAAATTCCCAGAATGAAGTCTTTTTTAATTAAAAAGAAAAAGAGAAAAAAATTATCTTAAGCAGCTAACAGTAGAATTTACCCTGCATTTGGGATGTGAGCTGTGTTGTATAAACTGGCACTATTAAACATCAACTTTGAACAAGAAATGACAAACTGACTCCTACAATTTATATAAATATCAAACGTGACAGTATATTAGACTTTTTATTTAATAACAACAAAGGGTTAATTAAGATTTTTGGTTTTTAAATCTTTTTTAAACAATATACTAGGAACTTCATTTGTAAGGAAATATTTATTGTATTTTTGTGTTTTGAACAGGGCAATTGAATGAAAATGGAAATGATAACATGTAGTATATTTATATACTTTTTTCCTCATAGTAAGAAGTTCACTCCTGAAATATTTTTTGGATTCTCCAACTTCTTTCATACATAGGAAATTATATAGTATTCTACATGAACTGTTACTATTAATAGAAAATCCAAGCTATGCTTTAGACAAAAGCAGGCAGCCTGATGTCTTTATTTGTTATATCTAGTATTAAGAGGGCTACACATCTATGTAAGTTGCTTTTTTATGTTTTTAACTGTAAAGCAGTTTTCCATTTGGTTTGATGGAACCAAAGTCATTACTATACTCACAAAACACAAGAGGTAAATTTTCTCTGAAAAGAAGCCACATTTTTTTAGAATTGGATTATTTTTTTCTATTTTATTTGATCCGAATAATTATGTTTTACTCCATTCTCCTATATATGTTGTTGACCTTATGATTTATGCAATATCTGTGATTTTTTATGCAGTAAAATTATTATACAAACTGGTAAAAATGTCATATTGCCTTTTTAATAGATAAGTTAGTGAATTTATATTCTCCTTTCCCTTAAAATGATTAAAATGACCAATTAATCATTTCTAGTATGTGGCTTCTCTTTAGCTTTAGGGATCATTTAGTAAAACTCTAGTGTTACCCAGGTTCAGAGAATTGGGTGAATAGATGGTGAATAGATCCCACATTGAGGTAAATTTGATTCTCTACACTCTGTTTGTTGCCAGAGGAGGGGTGCAGATCTGCATAAGATTTGTAATTCAATAACTATAACTCAAAATGGTTCAGTTACATCAGGAAAGAAAGTGCTATGTTTCAAACATTTCTTAAATGGTCCCAAATCGTAACAAATAGAAATCTCTTAGGGGCAGAAGCTGTCTTACTCTTATTTAGGTTCCTATAGTGCTTAGCTTGGCAGATAATAGATATACTATATATTTGTTGATTTTTTAAAGCAAATTTCTTTAAGACATTACTTGTTTTTCAAGGGTAAAGAAAAAATATTTTTGTGGGTTCCAGCCAAGATGGAGACGTAGGTAGAAACCCTTAGCTTCCTTGCACAACCAAAAGGAGGATAACAATCAATTAAAATCAATAAACAACCAAAAGCGTCAGAAAATCAAACTGCATGGAACTCCAACAACCAAGGAATTAAAGAAAAATCAACCAGAACAACCAGACCGGTAAGGCAGTGGACAACCCAGGCTGACTCAGAAAAACCACAGTGATGCGGCAGACCATGGGGGCGGGGCTGGCTGCCAAGGTTGGTGGGCTACAAGGGAGGGGCTAACTTGGGGGGGAAACTGAGTCTCAGAGCTGACTGTGGGCTACAGCTGGGGTTGCTGAGGTGAGAGATACTCCCAGTTGCACACCAGAGTTCATTGAAAAGTGTGCTCGAGATGAGAGGTGAGCTGCACTATTTCCTCCCTGGCTCCTTCCCCACAGGCAGCACAGCAAAGGTTGCCCTGCCTGGGTGATTACCTAAGGCCCTTCCCCCTTACAACCCATCAGCTGCACCAAGACAAAGAAATATGGCCCAAATGAAAGAACAGAGCAAAGCCTCAGAAAGAGAACTAAGCGATGAGGAGATAACTAACCTATCTGATGGAGAATTTAAAGCCCTGGTAATCAAAATGCTTACAGATCTGATTGAGCTTGATTGAAAAATGAAAAAACAAATGAAGGATGCCCAAAGTGAAATAAAGCAAAATATTCAGGGACCCAACAGTGACAGGAAGGAAAGCAGGACTCAAAGCAATGATTTGGAACAAAAGAAAGAAATTAATATCCATCCAGAAGAAAAGGAAGAAACAAGAATTCAAAAAAATGAAGATAGGCTTAGGAACCTCTGGAACAACTTGAAATGTTCCAATATCCAAATTATAGGGGTGCCAGAAGGAGAAGAACAAAAGCAAGAAATTGAAAACTTATTTGAACAAATAATGAAGGAAAACTTCCCCAATCTGGCAAAGGAAATAGACTACCAGGAAGTCCAGGAAGCCCAGAGAGTCCCAAAGAAGTTGGTCTCAAAGAGGAGCACACCAAGGCACATCATCATTAACTTACCCAAGATTAAAGACAAAGAGAAAACCCTAAAAGAAGCAAGAGAAAAGGAGAGTTACCAACAAAGGAGGTCCCATAAGGCTATCAGCTGATTTCTCAAAAGAAACCATGCAGGCAAGAAGGGGCTGGAAAGAAGTATTTGAAGTCATGAAAGGCAAAGACCTACATCCAAGATTACTCTACCCAGCAAAGCTTTCCTTTAAAATGGAAGGGCAGATGAAGTGCTTCCCAGATAAGGTCGAATTAAAGGAATTCATCATCACCAAGCCATTATTACATGAAACGTTAACAGGTACTTACCTAAGGAAAAGAAGATCCAAAATATGAACAATGAAATGACAACAAACTCACAACTGTCAACAAATGAACCTAAAAGAAAAGAAAAACAATGAAAACAGAGGACAGGCTGACAGAGACCACAGGGGAGAGAAGAGGGAATTTCAGGGGACATTGGGAAGGGTTCACGGGAGCAAACTTAAAGGACACATGGACAAAAACTAGGGGGAAGGTGGTAATGGGAGGGAAGTGGGGAGGGTTGGAAGGGGGGCTGGATTGGGAGTAAAAGGGAGAAAATTGTACTTGAACAATGATTAAAATAAAAAAAGAAAAAAAAAGAAAAACAGTGAAAACAAAAACTAAGCAAACAGTCAGTATAGGAATAGAATCAGAGAAATGGACATCACATGGAGAGATTTCAGTGGGAAGGGTGAAGGGAGGAATAGTGGGGGAAAAGTACAGGGAAGAAGAAGCATAATTGGTAGGCATAAATTAGACAGGGAAAGATAAAAATGGTATAGGAAACAGGACTCAAAGAAGTTATATGTATAACCAACCATGGACATGAACTAAAGGGGTGGGGAATGCTAGATAGCTGGGAGGGGGTAGTTGGAGGGGGGGTAATGTGGGAGAATTGGAAAAACTATAATAGCATGATCAATAAAAAATACTTAAAATTTTTTTTTTGTAAAAGCCCCTCTAGGATTCTTCCCCCGACCCCCCACCCCCCATACTAAAATTGTAGCATCAAATCAAGGTGTGCAAACCCGGGACTCCTGCCTACCAAACAAATCCCTTAGCTTTCACCAGTGTGTCTCCCAGGATTTCCATTGCAGCTGTCTTCTTTCCAAAGAAAACAGTCATTATTTTGGTTGATATTTCAGGAAGTCCTTTAACTCTACAAATTTTGGATGTGCACAATGCTTGCTCTCTTTTTTCTTCCTTCTTTTTCACCTCTAGGCAGATACCTCTTTAGTCCTTGGTTTTCTTCCTAAGGAGAGTCAAGTGGAAGGCTGTCTTCCAGTTCCAGTATTATTTGGAATCTTTCTTTTTATTTTAATGTTTTATTGCTAATCATTTAACGGACTTGGGTAGGGAGTGTCAAAATAAACATGGGAGGAGTAGCCAGTAGGGAAATCTGAGATTCCTAATCGTCATCCTTCTCCTCCCTGACGGTGAAACCCAGAAGGCTGTCTCGGGTTGTTTTTGGTTTGTTTAACAAGTCTTACTGCTATAATTCCTCCCTGTTTTAATGCAGTCTTACATTTATTTCCTAATGTATTTTGAACCTTGAGACCCATTATTCATTTCCCCTACCTGACCAAGTAGACTGTATTGAACTGTAGCAATAATATCACAGCTCTTCATTTCTCTTTTTATCCTCCTTTAGTGATCTCCTCCCCAAATTTCCACACAAGTATCCTCTTTGGTTAGTGTGCCTACCCTCTCACATTCTCTCTCATTTAAACATAGATTTTAAAATACAGCTTTTCAAAACCATAGTCCATCTTGAACCCCATCCGAGTATATTTTAGATTAATGTCTCCAATCTGAGATTGTTTCTCCTCTTATATTATTATCTTTTATTTAGAGATAATTGTAGACTCACATGCAATTGTACAATATAAAGGGATTTCATATGCCCTGCAACATTTTTCCCCCAGTGGTAACATCTTACATAACTAGAGTTCATTATCAGAGCCAGAAATATTGACATTGAGGCATCCACCAACTTCACTCAGATGTCACCAGGCTTACATGTACTCATTTACGTGTTTTGTCCTGTGTAATTCTTGCCACATTGTTAGATTTGTGTGGTCACCACAGTCAAGTTACAGAGCAATTCCATTGCAAGGATCCCTCATGCTACTCTTACTACTTTTTTTAAGATATATTTTTTTCAACACTGACTGTACTAGCAGTATGCTAGCTGCTGTGGATACAATGGAACATGAAAGCAGATGGGATTCCTGCCCTTTGGGAGCTTTCAGGTTAAACCAGTCCCCTTTCCAGGGAACTTCTTGGGGAGTCACTCATTTACATCTTTTACATTTGCAGCTGTCATAGATTGTCAGGGCATTTCTTTTCTTCTGTGTTGAAAATTCTCCCTCAGCTGGTGAATCTCTTTTTTTCCCAGAGGCAGTGAAACATAGAATCAGGTCAAATATTTTTTTCTACTTCATAAGAACAGATATTGGTTCAGCTGCCTTTGCCTTCTTCTTTGGACCTCATATTGATAAAAGGTTTACCAAGCATCCAGGGGAAAATGAAGAGTTCTGCTGAGACATAAGCTCCATTGAAGGGTCAGCCATGCTGTACATAGAGGGAAATTGGCATGCGCTTACCATATTGACCCAAATAGATGGATCTCAAGTGTTAACCCTGATTTTCAGTAGAGTAAGACATTTAATATTACTTGAAGTTTCATTAATAAATACCAAATATGATCGTTGAATATTACAGCATCATTTTAAAA